CATCACAGCTCACACCAACCTCCAACTCCTGGGCTCAAGTGAGTCTCCTGCCTCAGCCTCCCAAGTAGCTGGGACCACAGGCGCCCGCCACAATTTCCGGCTATTTTTTTGGTTGCAGCCATCATTGTTGTTTGGCGGGCCAGGGCTAGATTTGAACCTGCCACCTTAGGTGTATGTGGCTGGTGCCTTAGCCACTTGAGCCACAGGCGCCGGGCCAGTGCTTATAGTTTTTGAGTAGAGTCTTTAGGTTTTTCTGGATATATGATCTTATTGTCTGCAAACAGGGATATTTTATTTGGGAGGCTGAGGCAAGAGAATCTGCTTAAGCCCAAGAGTTTGAGGTTGCTGTGAGCTTTAGCACTATAGCACTCTACCCATGGCGACAGCTTGAGACTCTGTTGTAAAAATGAAACAAAACGAAAAGGATATTTTGACTTCTTTTTCAATTTGGATGCTCTTTATTTCTTTCCCTTGTCTGATTGTTCTAGCTAGAAATTCTGGTATGGTGTTGAATAACAGTGGTTTTGGGGGCATCTTTGTTTTGTTCCAGATCTTAGAGGAAAGGCTTTCAGTTTTTCCCCATTCAGTGTGTTACTATCACATATCACAAATGGTTCTGTCACATATGACTTATTATGAAGGAATGCTGAATTGTATCAAATGCTTTTTCAGCATCATTTGAAATGATCTTATGGTTTTTGTCCGTTGTTCTGTCGGTATGATGTATCACCCTGATTGATTTGCATATGTTGAATGATCCTTGCATCCCTGAGATGAATCCCACTTGATCATGATGAATAATTTAGTAGTCATATTCTAAAATGATCCTTTCATTTTCTGCAGTATCAGTTTTTTATTTTTTATTTTTTGAGACAGAGTTTCACTTTTCTGCCCTGAGTAGAATGCCATGATGTCATAGCTCACAGCAACCTCCAACTCTTGGGCTCAAGCCACTCTTGCCTAAGCCTTCTGAGTAGCTGGGACTACAGGTGCCTGCCACAGTGCCCAACTATTTTTAGAGATGGGGGTCTCACTCTGGCTCAGGCTGGTCTTGAACTCGTGAGCTCAGGTGATCTATCCACGTTAGCCTCCCAGAATGCTGGGATAACAGGCATGAGCCACTGCACCTGGCCGCAATATCTATTTTAATCTCTCCTTTTTATCTCTGAGTTTTTTGGGTCTTCTCCCTTTTTTTCTTAGTGTGGCTAAAGATATATGTCTATCCGTTTATCTTTTCTTTTTTTTTTTTTGAGACAGAGCCTCAAGCTGTCCCCCTGGGTAGAGTGCCGTGGCATTACAGCTCACAGCAACCTCCAACTCCTGGGCTCAAGCGAGTCTCCTGCCTCAGCCTCCCAAGTAGCTGGGACCACAGGTGCCCGCCACAACACCCGGCTATTTTTTTGGTTGCAGCCATTATTGTTGTTTGGCGGGTCCGGGCTGGGGATTCGAACCCGCCACCTTAGGTGTACGTGGCTGGCGCCTTAGCTGGTTGAGCTATAGGCGCCGAGCCCCGTTTATCTTTTCAATAAACATTTTCTTTTATTGATCTTCTGTGGGTTTTTCTGTTTGCTTGTTTCAATTTATTTCTGCTCTGGTCTTTATTCTGATTTTGGGTTTGGTTTGCTCTTGTTTTTCTAGTTCTTTGAGATGCACTGTTAGATTGTTTGAAGCTTTTTTACTTTTTTGTTGTGGGTACTTAATAAAAACTTTATTATGGCTGTTGTTATATCTTGTATTTTTTGATATGTTGTATTTTTGTTTTCTTTTGTTTCAAGAAATTTCTTTTTTTTTTTTTGAGACAGAGCCTCAAGCTGTCCCCCTGGGTAGTGTGCTGTGGCATCACAGCTCACAGCAACCTCCGACTCCTGGGCTCAAGCGAGTCTCTTGCCTCCGCTTCCCAAGTAGCTGGGACTATAGGCGCCCGCCACAACGCCTAGCTATTTTTTGGTTGCAGCCATCATTGTTGTTTGGTGGGCCCAGGCTGGATTCGAACCTGACTTAGGTGTATGTGGCTGGCACCTTAGCTGCTTAGCCACAGGCGCCAAGCCAAGAAATTTTTTAATTTTCTTCTTAATGTTTTCATTAACCCACTGGTCACTCAAGAGCAGATGATTATTTAATTTCTTTTCTTTTTTTTTTTTTTTTTAAGAGACCTAGTTTAACTTTGTTGCCCTCAGTAGAGTGCTGTGGCGTCACAGCTCACAGCAACCTCCAGCTCTTGGGCTTAGGTGATTCTCTTGCCTCAGCCTCCTGGCCATCTAGAACCACAGGCACCTGCCACAACACCCAGCTATTTTTTTTGTTGTTGTTGTTGCAGTTTGGCCAGGGCTGGGTTTGAACCTACCACCCTAGGTGTATGGGGCTGGTGCCCTACTCACTGAGCCACAGGTGCCACCCTGATGATTTAATTTCCACATGTTTATATATTTTCCAGTGTTAATTCTTTTTGTAATTTATTTCTAGTTTTATTATAGTAAGAAAAAAATAACTTGGTTATGATTTCGATGTTTGTGAATTTTTTGAGATGTCTTTGTGGCCTATGATCTATCCTTGAGAATGATCCATGAGCTGAGGGGAAGAAAGTGGATTCTGCAGCTGCTGATGAACTGCTCTATAAGCATCTATTAGGTCCATTTGATCCATAGCGCAGATTAAAGCCCAGCATTTCATTGTTGATTTTCTCTCTGTGAAATAAGACGGTAGATACGAGAGAAGGATGGATCCCACTTCAGATGTAATTAAGTAATAGAAATTTATTAGGAATTTAATACACTGCAGGTGCACCTACAGGGGGCTGTTGTAGTGGGCCAATAAGCAGCTTCGAATAGTGGGGGAGAAGCCTTTTTATACTGTTATTTTGCATAATCATGCATGCTGAGCAAGCTAGCGCAATACAGAAGCCAATCATAGCAGTTAGCACAATTCAATACAGCTCAGGGGTCACAAAATAAAAGTACATCATAAGGGCTTACCCAATTCAGGGTGGGGGTACAAAACATATCACAAGTACATTACTTCATGATCATAAGATGAGGGTCACATAGTTCAGGGGTACAAAACAAGTGTTGGGTAAATTTGTGAGAACTGTTGGGTACTTTGGGACCTTTTCACCTGGGCCTTTATTTGGAATCCACCCCTCCCTTTGCTCAACCCCTCCCTGCATACTTCCTTAATCTCAGGCTGCTGCTTTACCCTTGAGGGGGCTGGGACTAAAAGGCTTAGGAGAAGTTTCCTTTTCAAGGATAGGGGGCTTTGTTCCCCACTGGTCTTAGGGAGGGGGTCAAGGGCTAGGGGCTTGGTTATTACATCTGGATGAACAACCGTTCAAGCCTGAAAGTAGAGTGTTGATGTCTTCTGTCCATGTTTATTATGTTGGGGTCTATCTTTTAGTTCTGATATTATTTGCTTCATGTATCTTTTTTTTTTTTGAGACGGAGCCTCAAGCTGTCCCCCTGGGTAGAGTGCCATGGCATCACAGCTTAGAGCAACCTCCAACTCTTGGGCTCAAGCGAGTCTCCTGCCTCAGCCTCCCAAGTAGCTGGGACTACAGGCGCCCGCCACAACACCTGGCCATTTCTTGGTTGCAGCCATCATTGTTGTTTGGCGGGCCCGGGCTGGGGATTCGAACCTGCCACTAGGTGTATGTGGCCGGCGCCCCAGCCGCTTGAGCCACAGGTGCCGAGCCTGCTTCATGTATCTTGAAGGGTACATGTATATTGAGAATTGTGTATTCTTTTGCTGAATTGATGAATTAACCCCTTTATCATTATATAATGACTTTCTTTGTCTCTTTTTGTAGTTTTTGTCTTGAAATCTGTTTTATCTGGTAGAAGTATAGCTATTTCTGCCCCTTTTTGGCTTCTATATGTTTGGACTATCTTTTTCCATCCCTTTATTTTCAGTCTGTGTTTATGAGACAGTGCTTGTTAAAGTGTATTGTGAACTGTAAAATGTCATATGCATTTAGGTGGCTGTTACTGGGATACTGTTTGTTCTTGGATATCTTAAAATGTATTGCCAACTTTTGTGTCTTAAAGGAACATGCAGAATATAATTTAATTTTATGTTAATGATTCAGGGTCATTATTTTGATTATTGCTATATAGATAATATCAATATCTTTGAGGGTTTATATCATTCACTCAATTATCTCCAACTATTATGTAGATGTCATTGGCCATTTTCCTATCTTTCTTCTCTCATGAGAGATGTATGATGTTTGTGACTATTTGCTAAATGGCTCAAGGTCACTAAAACACTCCAGTGTTCTGTAACTTTTTATTGCTGTTAGTGGTTTTTGCATTTTGCTGTCTTTTCCTTCCTAGTAATATTTAGATATTTGGGCAGAGTTAAAGTCTGCAAAGAAAAAAGATGTCTTGAAAAAGAGATTTTTAGGGGGCCAGGCATGGTGGTTCACGCCTGTAATCCTAGCACTCTAGAAGGCCGGGCGGGTGGATTGCTTGAGTTCATGAGTTTGAGATCAGCCTGAGCAAAGCCAGACCCCATATCTACTAAAATAGAAAAACTGAAGCAAGAGAATCACTTGAGCCCAAGAGTTGGCGGTTGCTGTGAGCTGTGACTCCACGCACTCTACCCAGGGCAACAGCTTAAAAAAAAAAGATTTTAGGTTTTTTTTTTTTGCAGTTTGGGCCGGGGCCAGGTATTTGGGGCTGGCACTCTGCTCCTTGAGTCACAGGTGCTGCCCAAGATTTTAGGTTTAAAGTAAATAGAGAAGAGAAGCAGTTATTTCTATTTTTATCATATTTGAAGAAGAGCATTTTAAGATAGCTTCTTTTGGAGTATAAAGGATTTATTATTCTACGTGATCGTGGATATGGTTGTTAGTGGTTTAACTCTGTTCAGATAAATGGGATATTATTGAATGTATTTGAAACTAACATTTAGTTTAATGCTCAAAAATCATTTCTTTTTCAGGTTATATTTTATCTTGGCCAGTATATTATGACGAAACGATTATATGATGAAAAGCAACAACATATTGTATATTGTTCAAATGATCTTCTAGGAGATTTGTTTGGAGTGCCAAGCTTCTCTGTGAAAGAGCACAGGTAAATTCATTTTGGCTATTATAAAAACCTAGCTGGGCAGAAGTTTCAGTTCACCCTCCCCCCTTACTCCCTTTTGTCAGAGAAAAATTGTTGTAGTATATGTAAAAGATACTGAAATTTTATTTCCTAGCTCTAGCATATTATTTGAGAACCTGAACTCTGGAATCTTAGTGTGTTTAAGACCTAGCTCAGTCATTACTAGCTGTGTGACCAGGAAAATTGACTTAACCTCTCTAAACCTTAATTTCCCCATTTATAAATATCTCTGTGGAGGTTATATCACATGAAAAGTTAATTGTATAAAAAGCATAGTGTTTGGCACATAGCATTCACTTATGTGCTATGAATTATATAGCTGCAGTTGCATACTGTAAGTTGCTATTCCAGTCAGCTTCAGAGCCATCTTTATACCATCATATGGTAAAGGCTTAAAGTTGAGCTTAATCATAAATCATTTTCTTTGTGATATGTTATTATGGCACTTAATCAGCAGAATTTAATCTAGGTAGCATTTCTAGAATTATTCTTTTTTTTTTTTGAGACGGAGCCTCAAACTATCCCCCTGGGTAGAGTGCTATGGCATCACGCTCACAGCAACCTCCAACTCCTGGGCTCAAGCGAGTCTCCTGCCTCAGCCTCCCAAGTAGCTTGGACTACAGGCGCCCGCCACAATGCCCGGCCATTTTTTGGTTGCAGCCATCATTGTTGTTTGGCGGGCCCAGGCTGGGGACTCGAACCTGCCACCTTAGGTGTATGTAGCTGGCACCTTAGCCACTTGAGCCACAGGCGCTGAGCCTCTAGAATTATTCTTTTGGGAACTGAATGTTTTTCAGTTATTTTTACCTTACATTTGGAACTGGCATGTTTGATTTGGTATAATCTGTGTGGAGCCTTACCATTTGAATCTTAATAAAGGGGAAGAATACTTTTCACCTAAAACAGTTAACCATATTCTAGTGTTGAATGATCAATAATATAGTTAAAAAGATGGTAATTAAATGGGATATTTTACCTTCAAAACAATTTAATTATGGGCTCAGTGCATAGGGCACCAGCCACATACGCATACACCGAAGCTGGTGGGTTTAAGCCTGGCCGGGGGCTACTAAACAATAGTGACAACTGTGACAAAAAAAAAAAAAAAAGCCGGGCATTGTGGTGGGTGCCTATAGTCCTGGCTACTTGGGAGGCTGAGCAAGAGAATTGCTTAAGCCCAGGAGTTTGAGGTTGAGACTCTACCATAGTGAGACACTACCTCAAAACAAAGAAAGAAAAATTTCATTATAAACATAATATTTTCATTATTGAACATTAAGAAAAGAGAAAGCTAAGAAGAGTAGGGAAATAAATGTTTGTCAGCAAAAGTTATTTTACCAGTCATTTTTCTATTATGTGCAGATCTGTGTTTTT